TACATATATATATATATACACACTTGATATTGCACTTGTCTACATCCAAACCACTCTGTCTGAATTTTTTAAAGATAATGATAATAATGATAATAATAATAGTTGTTATTGTTGTTGTTTTGATGCTGAGGATTGAATCAGGGGCCTCATACATGCTAAACGTGGACTCTACCACTGAGCTATGCTTCCAGCTCCTAAACCAGTGGCGGCAAACCTATTGCACATATGCTGCAGTGGGCATGCAGAGCCCTCTGTTCGCACTGGAGCCACATGGCCCCAGCAGCTGAGCACTGAAAAAATAGTTTTTTCTAAACTAAAACCTCAGTATTCAGGTTTAATTTCAGTGTTGACACTTTGCGATAAATAAGTGGGTTTTGGGTGGCAGTTTGGGTGCTTGGTCTGTGAAAGGTTCTTCTCCATCACTGCCCTAAACTATATTTTAAATGTGATTTAAAAAAAATTTTTTTTGTTTTGGTACTGGGGATCAAACTTGGGTCCTTGCACTTGTGAGGCAGGTGGCAGAACCATAGAGCTAAATCCCTGGCCCAGATTTAAAATTGTTTTGAGCTTTTGAGCTGAGTGTGGTGGCACATGCCTGTAATCCCAGCACTCAGGAGGCTGAGGCAGGAGGATCACCGTGAGTTTGAGGACAGCCTGGGCTGCATAGTGAGGTCGAGGTCAGCCTGAAATACATAGTGAGACCCTGTCTTAAAAAACAAAAAAAATGTGAGTGGCGGGTTTTTTTTAAAAAAGTGTATGTGTACTGAATTTGAGCGTAAAACAATATGTTGATAATCTAGCCATTTCTTTATTTTGGAAAGATGAGCAAATAAGTTTGTTTTACTATCCAGATTATGATAGTATTTCTTAGCTTTGGTAATCTTTGATAAAATCATAATTAGCTTTTTATTACAGAAGAAAGTATCCCCTCTTTTTTGGCCAGAATTTAAAATAATCAAAATATATGCAGTGCTTTATACATCTTTAATAACCACTAAGGAATTTCCTTGAAAACTTGATAATATCTAGCCAGTTTTAATATTTGAATACTAAAGATTGAAGAGTGTATTGCCTAATCTGTTTTGGTTTTTTTTTTTGCCTAATCTTATTTAATGGCCACTCAAGTGTGTTCCCTTAAAATAAATAAAGTAAATGGCATATACTACATTTGGGTGCTGAATCAATGTAGTTTTTCTCTTGGGAGGATTGCCGCTGAGTTTGTAGCAGAAGTAGAGAAGGTCCATCTTTTATTTTTCCTTCCACCTCAGTTTTCCATCCTCTTCTTTTTCTTTTTTTTTTTTTGGTACCAGGGATCGAACTCAGGACCTTGCACTTGCAAGGCAGGCGCCGGAACCACTGAGCTAAATCCCCGGCCCTATCTTCATCTTTTTCATAAAATAGTTCTTCAATTTGTTCCCTTCTCCTTAAGTTGATAAAAATTTAAACTTTTTTTTTTTTTTTTTTTTTGGTACCGGGGATTGAACTCGGGTCCTTGCGCTTGCAAAGTAGGCAGCAGAACCACTGAGCTAAATCCCTGGCCCCAAAATTTAAACTTTTGGTGTGCTATTCTCAAAATCAGAACACTTTGGCTGGTAGCACCTGTGTGGCTTGAGAAAAGGGGTTGCTGGTGTCCTAAATAGACCTGAGAAGAGGGCTGGTGTCTGTGATCTAGCTTAGGGCAGCCTTTGACACTGCAGAATTGAGTAGATCCTCCCTGGCAGGGAAATGTGTTACAACCTGCTTTAGGCACAGAAAGCTGAGAGAGAAATAGAGTACATTGTACGTGTGTGTGTGTGTGTGTGTGTGTGTGTGAAGTGTGGAGGGTACTTACAGACGTTGCGGAATGGGATTGCCCATTACCTTGTCATAACTGGAATCCATACTATAAGTTTTTTTGCAAGGCATCACCCCTTAGGCTTTATGGTGTTGGAAATAGATAGCTGTAGCTCTTGTTTTGTTTTGTTTGTTTTTTGGAACAGAGTCTCTCTATGTAATTTAGGCTGGCCTTGAACACACTGTGTAGCCCAGGCTGGCCTCAAACTCCTTCCTCAGGCTCCTACATGCTGGGATTACAGGTGTGTGCCACCATGCCTGGCTCTGCCACCCTTTTTCTTAAAATATACTGGTATTGCCCCAGATACCAGAAATTTATGCTTGAACCAGTTAAAATAGTTGACATTTATAGTACAGTATTTATTTCATAGAGCTTCTTGAAAAACAAAATGTGACATGGAATTAAGTAATTTATTTGTAATTTTTTTATTTCTGTGGTAAGACAATCTTTTATCTTTGTTCCCCTAAATTTCTAGTGCCTTGCTTTGTGATAGGAGCTCAGTGAACAGCTCTTCTGGGTTCAGAAGTGACTTTAAACTGTGGGTTTTTGTTTTTTGAGACAGGGTCTCACAATGTGTTACTAGCTGGCCTTGAACTCACTGCGTAGCCCAAGCTGGCCTCCAGCTGCTGGCTCAGCCTCCCCAGTGCTGGGATTACAGGTGTGCACCACCACATCTGGTTTACGCTGTTTTATTTCCTCTTGCCAACAAAGATTAAAACTTTGGGGAACAGAGCACTGAATTTAATACCATATGCTAGAACCCTAAATAAATGTGATTGTTTTGTTTTATCTAATGTTTAGGAAAGTAGGGAGAGGGTTATGCAAGAAGTTATACCAGGTTTAATTAAAAATTAATTTCCAGGATGTGGCCTGTGTTTGGTACTTCTGGGTTAAATCCCCAACACTTCCCACAACATTGTGTAGCAAGCAGTGATGATCACTGTGGCCCTCAGCTGCTGCTCTGTTCTCCAGAGGAGGATTAAAATGTCCATGTAGGGCCGGGGATTTAGCTCAGTGGTTCTGCCGCCTGCCTCGAAAGGCCTCGAAAGCGCAAGGACCCGAGTTCCATCCCTAGTACCAAAAAAAAATGTCAGTGTACCATATGGTTCAAGGGAGAAAGAGTACTAACTTTTAAAATAATAAGAGCAAAAGTTGAAATCAAAATAGTTTCATATCCCTGGCATTTGATGTCATTGAAATGTTTTCACTTAATAATAAATCTAAAAGAAGTAGTTTTCAGAAGGGAAGAATCCTAGGTATTTGAGAGATGTCATATGATGGGATATGATTTACCTGATACCCAGAGGTGGTAGTTACTAGTGCTACAGCAATAGGTTAGTGTATTCAGAACATCTCAATTTTAATGGAGAACAGAGGTTAAAATTTTAATATGTAATTCTACACAGTAACATTTGTGAAAAGGAGTTTGGTCAACAGAACATATCCTGGGCATAAACCTATTTAATTCTGCAAGAGACGGGTTTTTAATTTTTTTTTTGAGACAAGGTCTTGCTGTGTTGTTCAGGCTGACCACTAACTTGGCAGTGCTTCTGCCTCAGCCTCCTGACTGCTGGGATTACAGGCTTGCACCACTACACCTGGCTAGGGTTGGTTTTTTCATACTTGAATTTGCATAGTCTTTTACTTTGTGATAGGTACAAATATTTATATCTTTGGTGGTCTTTTCCTTGAGAATCTCAGAAGCTTATAAATAAGTACAGCAAGCATTGTTTAATAATTAGTAAGATTAATAAGACTCAGATATATGAGATCTCTTTGTTCTTGTCTCATTTCTACTAAACAACTTGAGTGGATTTTGTGAACCCTTAACCTTCTGGGTGTATTTTCTCGCCTATCCAGTCAGGGAGTTGAGGATTGTGATCTGTTCGTTTGGGCCACATCATAGATTCTGGAGTTCTCAGATGTATTCCTTAAACTACTGAATACCTGTTAATGTGTGCCGTTCTCAAGTATTTTCTTTCTCTTCATTTACCACAGTAGCTAACATAAGAGGAACCAAGCTATTTTGCTGAGAGGCTGTCTTAGGGGGAAGAGTATCACTGGGGAGGCCGAAGTTGCGCAGGAAACATAGCTTGGATGAGAGGAATGCGAACGTGGTTCTTGATACTAGGAGAGAGTGGAGAGCCTGCTTACTCCGCCTCGATTTGTTTTGGGTTCAGGTCAGATGAGAAGTGAATCCTTGTCAGCCTGGAGCAGGTGAAAAGGTTATTACAGCAGGAGGGCTTTTTGAGGAGAGCAAGGAAGGGCCTCTGTTAGGGTCAGGCTAAGAGAAGAGGTGATTTCTTCAGTAGAAAGAGAGGGAGAAATCCTATATAAAAGTTTCCATTTGAGTGAAGATGTGAGGGAATTCTAGTGATAATTACATACTTCCTGAACACCACCAGGAGAAATGTAGAATACTGATACTCTGTTTTTTTTGTTAAAAGTGGCAGAAAAACAATGCGGATAATATGACATGGCATTGGGGATCTTTTATAGAAGATATTAGGACTGCAACAAACACCTGTTGATCTCATTGTTCCCCAGTGTCATTTTACTGGCTAAATAGTGCCCCTTTTCCCCTACCCGTCCTAGCCCTCCCTCTTGGAGCTTTGTGCTTGGTCAAGGTTTTGAGAGAAGTAGTACTTCCTTCTGGAGCCTCCATATTGTACATGCTCTTAGTACTTATGGCCCTTAGGAGAAATACAGGGTGGTTGAGCGTACTTAGCCTTGGCTAGTTTCTTTCTCCAAAACTACTAAGTTTTGTGTTTCAGATTTTTTTTTTGAAGCAAAACATTTATTGGTGCATTTTAGATGTACATAATGCTCACATTCATCATAGGGAATCTGTACTTGTTTTTTTTCCCATTCTCCCCCTCCCTTTGACCCCTCTCTCCCTTCTTATTTACAAAGCTTTTGTTTCTATTTTTTCCTTCTATTCTTTTTTTCTTGTCCCTTCTTTCCTTTCCTCCCTCCCTTGTTCTCCTTCAGATTTTTAAAAAAATTATCTTTCTGATTATTAATAGATCAAAAATAAATCTTAAGATAAAATGTTTTAATGGTTTATGAGGAAAAATATTACTAAGAATGATTAGCCAGCCATATAAAAATACTTAGTCTTACATGATTTTACATAGAGTTTCAGTTTATTTTCTGGTTTCGATAGAACAAGTTGAAATCATCGCAGAAGGATAAAGTTCGACAGTTTATGATCTTCACACAATCTAGTGAAAAAACTGCAGTAAGTTGTCTTTCTCAAAATGACTGGAAGTTAGATGTTGCAACAGATAATTTTTTCCAAAATCCTGAACTGTATATACGAGAGAGTGTAAAAGGATCATTGGACAGGAAGAAGTTAGAACAGCTATACAATAGATACAAAGGTGAGTATTTGCTTGTGACTTTAAATATTTTGAACTAGGTTTTCTAAAGTTATGGTCTTGTGGGAAATCAAATACTACATAGCAGTATACACTGGTGGGTGTGTCCAGCAGAGCTCTATAGATTTTAGAATTATTTCAGATCTAAGAGAAGAAATTATTTCCTCTTTTCACTAAAATCACTTTTTGGCCTATTCTTTTTTTTCCCCTCATTATCCAGTTTGAGACTAGAAAATCAGGGGCAACCAACCCCCCCACCCCTTTTTTTTTTTTTTGCTATACTAGGGATTGAACCCAGGGACTTTGCACTGAGCTACATTCCCAGACCTGCTTTTTTTTTGTTTGTTTTAAGACAGGGTTTCCCTGAATTGTGCAGGGAGGGGTTGAATTTGGTGATCCTTCTGTCTCATCCTCCCAGAATGCTGGGATTATGGGTGAGGTCCACCATGCCTGGCTACCTCCCATCATCTTTGTAAAACTGCTAAATCAAATTAAAAAAATTTTTTTTTGATACAGGGTCTCACTATGCAGTTCAGGCTGACCTGGAACTCAGTATGGAGCCCAGGCTGGCCTGCCTCAGCCTCCCAAGTGCTGGGATTACAGGAGTGCACCACCATGCCTGGCTAACATATACTTTAAAAAAATTAAACAGGGCTAGGGCTGGGGATTTAGCCCAGTGCCACAGTGCCTGCCTGGCAAGTTTGAGGTCCTTAGTTCAATCCTTGGTACCAAAAAAAAAAATTAAACAGGGCTAGGTGAAGTGGCATGTGACCATAATCCTAGCTACTTGGAGGCTGATGCAGAAAGATTGTTAAATTTGGGGCTAGCATGGGCAATTTAGCCAAACCCTGTTTCTGAATGGCTGCGGGGTTCAATCCACAAAAATAAAATACCTTAGAAAAGGGCCTGAGATGTAGTTCAGTGGTAAAGCACTTGCCTAGCATATGTGAGGCCCTGGGTTAAATTCTCAATACCATTTAAAAAAAAATTAAACAGTACTTAATAGGTGACTAAGCAAAAGATTAATAGCTTTTCTACATTTTTCTTTATTCACTGGAGGTAATGAATATTTAATAGATAGGTGTTGATCTTTCCATGTTTTTTATGTTTATACAAATATATGTGTGTATAGATATAATATAGTTATTTTCTATTTTCTTCTTTTTTGTTTTTTTTTGGGTACTGGGGATCAAACTCGGGTCCTTGTGCTTGGGAGGCAGGCGGTTAGAACCACTGAGCTAAATCCCCGGCCTGATATACATGCTTTTATTGCTAGAGTTATTGCCAGATAACTTTTAGAAAGATGTTATCAAGTCATATTTAATAGCAATGTTCACTTCCTCTTTCTCCTTGTATACTTCATTATTTTGAAATTTTTGTCTGATAAATATTTTTTCCTTTAAACAACAGATATGGATGCTTATATTAAGATAGAATTGCATAGTTTTTAGTTTTTCTGAAATTTAAGAAGTGATTGTTAAGGTAAAATGAACTTTAAGGAAAAAGAAGAAAAAAAAATTTTTTTTTTTGGAGTTTTTCAAAAACCTCTTCTGATTTCTTGTGGTTTTTTTTTGGTACCAGGGTTCGAACTCGGGTCTTGGCACTTGCGTAGCAGGCGACGGAACCACTGAGCTAAATCCCCGGCCCTCTTCTGATTTCTTTTAAAAAAAAAATTTCAGGGCTGGGGATTTAGCTCAGTGGTTTTGCTGCCTGCTGGGCAAGCGCAAGGACCCGAGTTGGATCCCCGTTACCAAAAAAAAAAAAAAAATTTCTGAGCTGAGAATGTTGGTCAGTGGTCTAGTGCTTGCCTAGCATGTGAGGCCTTGGGGTAGGGGGCTAAAGGAGATTTCTATACATAACACTGTTCATTTAGAATGCCTTCTTAGGGCCGGGGATTTAGCTCAGTGGTTTCGCTGCCTGCTGCGCAAGCGCAAGGACCCGAGTTGGATCCCCGTTACCAAAAAAAAAAAAAATACCAATAGCAATCTAGAATGCCTTCTTAAACAGAATCTGGATATATTGAGTCATAATCCTTTGTCCCTATGCAAGGTCATTTCTGATTTTCTCAGTGTGTTTAAGGATGGGAAAATTTTCAGATGGACATATTTCCTCCTATATTTTTTAATAATGCTATTTGTGGGCCCAAGTGGCTTTAATTATTATACAGGGAAAACATCTGTTAGAGTACCCCTATAACTGTGGCATATTGTGATTTTTTTAAAGTGAAAAATAAAGCATTGCCTTTTCAGTTTTAGGAATGTAGCATAATAAAGTATGGCATTAATTTGATATTGCCTTATTTTTAAAGATCCTCAAGATGAAAATAAAATTGGAATAGATGGTATACAGCAATTCTGTGATGACCTGGCACTTGATCCAGCCAGCATTAGTGTTTTGATCATTGCATGGAAGTTCAGAGCAGCAACACAGTGTGAGTTCTCCAAGCAGGAGTTCATGGACGGCATGACAGAATTAGGGTGAGTATATAAGTACCATGGGAAGGTACTCATGGACACAGTGCCATGAGAGTTATGGAACTGAGTTACAGCATCAGTTTGGTCCCCCGCCTCCCAGTGCTGAGGATTGAACCCCAGTCTTTGCATTGATCTCTGCCTCTTTTAAAAAAATTTTTAAATTTTGAGGCAGGGTATCACTGAGTTTCTCTAGTCAAGCTCTAACTTGAGATCCTTCTGCCTCAGCCTCTCAGAGTGCAGAAATTACAGGCCTGTGCCACTATCATGGCTTGTCATCAGTTTTTAAATGTAAATTTAAGATATACTGGCCCAGGGCCGGGGATTTAGCTCAATGGTTTTGCCGCCTGCTGTGCAAGCACAATGACCCGAGTTCAATCCTGGTACTAAGAAAAAAAAGATTTATTGGCCCACAAACATTAGTATAAATAGAAATGAGCTAACATGCTAGTTTCCATGTTAAACAGTTTTCTGGGCTTGTCAAGTTATATAATTACTGTATTTATATTTTCATTTTCATTTGTTTCTGAGAGATTCACTAATATTAAAATCATCATGCATTAGTAATGAAATCAGCAAGGTTGTAAGTTATCTCCTAATGTGAGGCTGTGAACTCTGGATTGATAAAATCCTAGAATTTAAAAACTGGAAGGTGCCTTAGAAATTACTTGTTGTGCCAGGCATGGTGGTGCAGACCTGTAATCTCAGCACTTGGGAGGCTGAGGCAAGAGGATTGCCATGAGTTCCAGGCCACACTGGGCTATATAGTAAGTTCAAGGTCGGCCTGAACTACATAGTGATACCTTGTCTCACAAAATTTTTAAAAAATGTTACTTGTTGCATTTGTTCTATTTAGGCCTTCACAGCTTGATTACCTCAATGACTTTGGATGAATAGATGGGAAAGTCATGGGAAGAGATTTTACTTATGACCTCTAGTTGTTTTTATTTATTGAGACTGCAAAAGTATTCAGTTTTTGGGTAGGTAACAGGCTGCCCTTTTTTTTTAGTGGACCACTATTGAATAATAATAGCTATGCTGCCTGTCCTGGACATGCAAGGACCCGAGTTTGATCCCTGGTACAAAAAAAAAAGTTTTTGAGAATAATAATAGCTAACATGAATTGAGCAATATTTTATTTCAATAACTGCTAAGCACTTCATCTACTGCCTCCACAACAACTTTGTGAGAGTAGTGGTTACATCCTTATTTTAGAGATGAGCAAACTAAGGTTCAAAGAAATGATAGAAATAGGTAACATTGGAGTCAGGATAGAACCTAGACATTCTGCTTTTTTTTTTTTGGTACTGGGGATCGAACTCGGGACCTTTCACTTGCGAGGCAGGCGGCAGAACCACTGAGCTAAACCCCCGGCCCATAGACATTCTGCTTTTTGAGCCCAGGGTCCATTGTCATCAGTCAGGGTCCAGTCAGGACACAAAACCACACCGGTAATTGGAGCAGGGAAAATTAAAAGAACTGTTTTACTATGTGAAAGAAAACTCTTAAGGTGTAAGAGAGAAGCTAGCAGTACTTGTTGCCATCACTGGGTTGAGTGAAGTGAACATACCAGGTAGGAATTTAGAAACTGAAGAGATTCTAGCAAGGCAGCGATTGTTTAAGTGGGTAAGGGAGGAGGAACAGGTTCACTGCAGTGATAAAAACCTATGAAGAGGCCACTTGTGGGGGAGCTGTGAGAGTTGTCACCAAAACCATTGCCCTCTGGAGAAATAACAAACTGAGGTAAAAGTTCCTCCATCTTCTTCCACCTTTCATTACCCCTCTTGGTAGAGCCTACTATTGAATAAACTGGCAAGAAAATGAAGGCTGGTGGTTTGTTACAAAGTAGAGCAAAGAAGAGTATGTTTAAGCCAGGTGTGGTGGTACATGGCTGTAATCTCAGCTATGTGGGAGACTGAGGCAGGAGACTTATTAAATGCAAGGCCAGCCTGGGTAATTTAGCTAAACCCTATCTCAAAATAAAGAAGAGCTGGGCACGTACCTCAGCAATGGAGCGTTTGCCTACGGTGCTCAAGGCCCTGAGCTCAATCCCTAATTACCCTCCCCGCTCCATCCACACACACAGAAGGGCAGGTTTAAAGAGGAGAGGCAGGCTGGGCATGGTGGTACATACCTGTAGTCTCCTGAGTCAGGAGGATCTGCAGTTTCAGGCCACCCTGAGCTACATTTGCAAGACTGCCCCCCCAAAAATCAAATTACTGAGAGGGAATAAATGAATAATCTTGCTTGGACTGTCCTACATCCAAAGACATCATCCTGAGCATGGATTTTTTTTTTTTTTATGCCAGATACAGTTTGCATGGGAAAACATATGTTTTTTCATTTTCAGTTGAAATGGCATTCATGTAAAATGTGATGAGCTTCCAATCTGAAATTTTATTTTACAGCTAATGATCTAGAAGATGTCATAAAGAGTATAGAAAGAAAATAAAAGCAAAAATGATTAGAAGAGAAAAAAATTGAACTAATTCATTTTTTTTGATGGAGTCTTTACAAAATGTTTATTTCAATGATAAGGCTTTTATGACAAAAGTAAATCTTGGTACTTAAACTTTCCAACTCTTTGAAAGTTAAATGTTTTGCAGATACAGAAAAAAAGTGTTGATTTGAGATAATTCAGTTGGAAATGGTAGCTGATATTTATTGTTGTACTTTCTATATAGCTAGAAGCAAATTTTCAAGAGAAACGATTCCACACCTAAGCAACAGGCCATGTTTCCAATTAGTGTGGAAGTCAGCGCTGTGGTGAAATCCTGTATGAGCAATGTCTAATTCAGTCGATGATTGTACTGGTGATTGCAAAGCTGGTCAGAGTCTCTTCTTGTTTCTTCACTGAAGCTGACTTCTGTCAGCATGTTGATAGACCAGTGAATTATGTAATTAAAAGTAACAGCCCATTTCTTTTAAAAATAGTAATTATTTCTAACATTTTGTCACTCTAGAGCTCCTCCTCTTTCACCTCAAATAAGTATTCCTTATCCTTGGTATTGCTTTTTGAGGTTTCAATGATATAGTCAGCTACGGTCCCAAATTATTAATTAGAAAATTTCAGAAATAGCTGGGTGTGGTGACACATGCCTGTAATCCCAGAACAGGGGAGGCTGTGGCAGGAGGATCACTATGAGTTCAAGGCCAGCATGAACTACATAGTGAGACCCTGTCTCAAAAAAACAAACAAGCAAAAAATCATAAGTTGTGCACTTTCTAACTGCTGTGATGAAATTTGCCATCTTGTTTTGTCCTGCTTGGGATGTGAGCCTTCTTCCACATCACATCTACTAACTGGGTGTTGTTCAGTAACTATCTCAGTTATCAGCTCAAATGTGTCTGTGTCCCAGTGCTTACATTTAGTAACCTTAGTAATGGTCCCAGAATGCAGAGGTAATGATACCGGCAGTTTGGATATCCCTAAAGAAGAGCTGTAAAGGGCTTCTTTGAAGTGAAAAAGTATATTTTGAAAGAGAGGACACATTTATATAACTTATTACAGCATGTTGTTACAATTATTCTATTTTATTGTTAATTTTTTATGATGTCCAATTTATAAATTCAATGTTATTATAGATCTTTGTATAGGAAGAAAGGATAATATTGGATTTGGTACTGCCTGAGGTTTTAGTCATCCACTGGGGGTCTTGGGACATAGGCCCTGGGGATAAAGGGTGTATTACCATATTTGTTTATATTTACATAATGTAAAAGATGAAATTCCAACTATCTGATTTTTTTTTTTTTTTTTTGTGGTACTGGGGATTGAACTGGGGTCCTTGTGCTTGCGCAGCAGGTGGCAAAACCACTGAGCTAAATCCCCGGCCCAACTATCTGATTTTTTAAAAAAAGAAATTCTAGAAAGGAAATATAAGCCCTCAGGGAATAAATAAGTTACACTTTTAATTTATAGTTAAAAAAAAGTTAACCTTGTATAAACTTAATTTTATAATGTAGATGTGACAGCATAGAAAAGCTAAAGGCTCAAATACCCAAGATGGAACAAGAATTGAAAGAACCAGGACGATTTAAGGATTTTTACCAGTTTACTTTTAATTTTGCAAAGAATCCAGGACAAAAAGGATTAGGTAAGAATATTTTAAAATTATATTTGGTGTTTCAATTATATGTAAATACCTTGACAGTATCACTTTTGTAATAAAAGTTTTATATTTACAGCATAAAGTCATAAATATACACATTATTGGAAAGCAATAGGATTTAGTGAACTTTTAGCCAGAAAATACCATACATTTTGGGTAATAGGTATCGTATATGACTCACAGATATTTTAAGAAATAAAAAATGTAGGGCTGGGGGTTTAGCTCAGTGATTTCGGCACCTGCCTCGCAAGCGCAAGGTCCCGAGTTCAATCACCGGTACCAAAACAAACAAACAAAAACAAAAAGAAATAAAAAATATAAATATAGAAAATAGTAGTTAAAATTCCACTGACAGTTATTTACACATGCATTTATTTTTTAAGCAAAACATTTATTGGTACATTTTAGATATGCATAATGATAAAATTCATCATAGGGAACTTGTACCTATACATGATATATACATGATATATCTTGCTTCTTTTTTTTCCCATTGCCCCCTCCCTTCAGCCACTCTTCCCCTCCTTATATACAAAAGCTTTGTTTCCATTTTTCTTTCTATTTTCTTTTTTTGTTATTCTTTCTTTTATTTTTATTTTTATTTTATTATTTTTTAAAAATTCTTTCTTTCCCCCTCCCCCCTCCCTTGTTTCTTGTTTGAACATTTATTCCCATTTCCCAATATCTGTTTTACATTTTGGTCCTTATTTACACTTTCAGCTTCTCACACCAGAGAAACAATGTGGTATTTTAACGTGTGTCCGATTTATCTCACTGAAGAGTATGGTCTCAAGGTCCATCCATTTAGCTAGAAATGTCTCAAACTCGTCCTTTATGACACAGTAGAACTCCATTGTATAAAAAAACCACATCCAAAAATCAAAAAACAAAAAAACCCCCACATCTTTATCCATTTGTCGCTTGATGGACCTTTGGGCTGTATCCAAGATTTAGCTATTACCAACTGTGCTGCTATAAACATGGGTGTGCATATATCGCTGTGGTATGACCCTTTTAATTCTTTTAGGAAGTGTCTTTCATTTATGATCCAGAAGATATTTTAGGATCTATAGAAATAGCATTATAGATTTCTGAGTCATAGAATGGACAGATAACTTCATTCTTTTATTTGAAAACTTTAAGAAAGGATGAAAAGAAAATCTTATTCATAATCTTATTATCCAGAGATAATTGTTATCAGCATAGGTCACTTTAACCACTTGACCACCTTGATTCATTAACAGTTTAGATCACTCACTTTATACTAAAATCAATACAGAAATTCCTTGTTTAATGACCGAATTCTGGTCGTGGCTAGGTCATTAATTGAATTGGTTGCTAAATGAGGAAATGTATATAGTATGGACATTACAGTATTCAGAACAAAGAATTGGTCAAAGAGAAGTCCAGCTTGTTGACTTTGCTTTTTGCATAACTCTTACATGCAGTACTATAATGTGTAACACAACATAAAACTACAGTACTCTACAGTACAATAAATTACAGTACCATATAAACAAGGTGTACTGTACCAAAAAAAGACATTGAGTGCTATAAAAAAGATGAACAGATCTATACCCTCCAAAAATGGTTGTAAGTCCGAACATTCATCAAACAGGTAGGTCATTAAATGATGAATATCTATATTCAATTTGCTTTTGGAACAGCTGGGGACATGGAAGTAAAAGAGATAATGTCAGTTACCTCCCTTTTAGAAAAAAGGAGGGATGAATAAAAATAAGAGTGGTTGGGAAATGCTTTCTGGGCCAGGTGGGATATGAACTGAGGGAATTGGTGTTCTAGACAAGGGAAGATGAAAGGTATTCCAGTGAGGATTGTTGTGTGTGAGGTTCTAAAACCTTAGAAGTGGGGTGGGGATTTAGCTCAGTGGCATCACACCTGCCTTGCAAGCACAAGGTCCAGAGTTCAATCCCCAGTACCAAACAAAAACAAAAACAAAAAACGAAAAAACCCTCAGAATTAAGTTTGGAGGACTGGGGATTTAGCTCAGTGGTGCCATGAGTGCAAGGTCCCGAGTTCCATCCCTGGTAACAAACAAACAAGCAAACAAAAAAGAAGTAAGTTTGGAGTTTTTGAAGAAGAGAGCATGCGTTGTTTGATTTTAGTGGGAATGCTTGTTTGGAGATTAAATTAATGAGACACAGTCATATAGGCTTTTGAAAGTGGGACAGAAGGGTTTAAATTGGAATATTTTGGAAATGAGGACCCAGTGAAGATTTTGATGATGGCAATAACTTCTGTAGTCCGGGCTGGCCTGGAATTTGTAGTAATCCTCCTGCCTCAGTAATTTACCACCTGCTGAGTCCCAGGCATGCGTAGTACAGTAGTCAATTTTTAATTTTTTTTGCCAGTACTGGGGATTGAACTCAGGACTTTGCGCTTGCCAGGCAGGCGCTGGCACCACTGAGCTAAATCCCCGGCCCTCAATTTTTTATTCTTAATTTGCAGGTGAGGAAATTTAGACACAGGAAAGTTAAATAACTTGACCAAGATGAAAGTGGTTGTTTTGTTTTGTCTTTGTAGTGCTGAGGATAGAACCTAGGGCCTCACATGTGCTAGGCAAGCATTCTCCCACTGATTCACACCCCTAGCCCTTGCTTTTGTTTTTATTTGTTTTGTTTTTGAGGCAGGGTCTTGCCCTGTAGTTCAGGCCAGTCTTGAACTTACTATGTAGTCAGGGCTGCGATCTTCCTGGATATTCCTGCCTCAGCCTCCCAGTGCTGGGATTACAGTCATGTGCTACCACACCTGGCCCTTGTTTTTGAAGATACAGTAATTGGAGAGGCTCATGAGGCCTATTGTAGTAACCCTTCTTTATATTTTAGATGATAGAAGGCAGAAAAAATTGTTGAGAAACAGATTATAAAGTTGGGAAATAGACCAAGGAAATGATTGAAAGCTAGAGAGAAAGGGATAGATGTACATTTGTAATGAAAAATTGCCCTAAAGAGAGACTAAGCATCATTGAATTGATTGACTAAAGATTTATGAAATATGTGTAAATCAGAGTTCTAATGAACCCTTTGTTCTAATTGATTGCTTCCCGGGATGTAGCTCAGTGGTGGAGCATGAGTTCAATCCCCAGTACTAGAAAAAAAAATTAGATGGGGTAGATTTTGTTCTTTTTTTTTTTTCTTAATTTAATTTAATTTTTTTATCCCATTCCACCCCTCAAGCTACCTCCCCTCCCTATGTACAAAAGCTTTGTTTCCATTTTTTTCTTCTATTTTGACTTTTCTTCTTGTCTCATCCTTACTTTGGAATTTTTTTTTTTTTTTTTACTGGGGATCGAACTTGGGTCCTTGTAGTTGTACAGCAGGCAGCGAAACCACTGAGCTAAATCCCCGGCCCTGGATTTTGTTCTTATAGGAAAAAAATTTTCAGGAAAAATAAGCTGGAATTCCTAGGATTAGTTTATCTCTAGCCACCAGTCAGCTGGCTGGTTTTGTAATTTTTTTTTCTTTCTCATAAATAAAAATCTGTGAAAGCCTTAGAATTTGCTTTTAAAAGGATTATTTTGTGGTACTCAGGAATGTATATAATATTTTGATAAGGTTAAACAATTTGTAAATGTCAAATTGATTTAAAAGGACTGAACCTATTTTTAGTTATATCCTTATCTTTTACAGGAGCAGAAAATAAATGGTGTTTTGGATGAATATGTAGTTTTGATAGTGAAAATAATGCAAAATTAAAATTTTTAGACATTGATATATTAATATGGATATTTCAGATTACAGGAAAAAATTGAGACTGTTACATGAAAACAATAGATTTTAAATGTTTTTACTTATTATCTAGTAAGTATTGTGTTTAAGAAAAATGTGTATTGTTTAATAGTTATAGAGTTTCTGTATTTTTGCTAAGAAAAGAATTCTGGAGATTGGTGGCACAACAGTTTGAATGTACTTAACACTGCTGAACTGTACTTTAGAAAGTTACCATGGTAAATTTTATGTCAGGTGTATTTAAATACAATGAAGAAAATGATCATTTTTTTAGGGCAGAGATTTGAGATGGAGTCTTACTTTGTAGCCTAGGCTGTCCTCAAACTCTGCTGATCCTCCTGCCTCAGCAGCCTCGCAGGTGCTGGGGTTACAGCCATGCGCCACTGTGCCTGGCGAAAAAAGTGTATTTTAAAAAAACTCATACTATAGAATGTATAATAATGAAAAGAGGAGAGAAAAAAAGAAAGAACAAAAGAAAAGTTTTCTCTTCTTGTTTTCCATTGGTGTTAAGTGTCAGATAATGTAATCTCTTGCTTAGTCGAAGAGCTTAATTAAAAAGAAAACAGTTTTCTTGACAGCCTTTCTAAGGGTTCACAGGGCTCTCAAATTACAAGATCTGGCAGAGAAGAATTAGAAGATCATAGAAGAGGCTAGGCCCCAAACAAATTGGCAGAGAGTGATAGTGACAACACTGGTTTATAAATAGTTGTGCTAGTTATAATGAGCTGGGATTTTCCTTATTTTTTCACTTTCTTTTCCCTCCGTCCCTCCCTTCTGTCTTTCTGTTTTTCTATTTGTGTGTCTTCGTTTTTGCAGTACTAAGGATTGACCTGGGGCCTTCACCTTGAAGAGCAACATCTGCAAGCCTTTTTATATTTCATATATTAAAAATTCTTTTGTTTGATTTTTTGAGACAGGGTCTCTCACTGTGTAGTTCAGCTGGCCTTGAACTCACTATGTAGCCCAAGCTGGCTTCTAACTCAAAGCAATTCTCCTGCCTCAGACTGCCAAGTGCTGGGATTACAGGGGTGCACTACCATACCTGTCTAAGAATGTTCATTTTTAAGGCAAAAAGAAAAGCCATTCCAGGTTAGCATGTCCAATTACTCAGAAGTGAAGGAATATTACACTTTTGAGGAACTCCAAATAAGTTCATTTGACTAGAAAGATAGATGTGGAATGGATGGAAGGCTGAGGCAGCAGGAGTGCTGCAAGTTTGAGGCCAGCCTGCACTATGTAGCAAGACCCTATCTCAAAAAACAGACAGAACAGAGCAAAACATGAATGGCTGTAATCCCAGCACTCAGGAGACTGAGAAGGGATCTCAGCGAGTTCAAGGCCAGCCTGGGCTGCATAGTGAGACCCTGTCTCAAAAACACACACAGAAAGGGGGTGCGGGGTGTGGAGCAAGATTAGAAGAAGAGATAATGGTTATTGAGCTATTGCAGAAAGTTAGCTAGAGATAAAGAGGAGTTTAACATGGGTCCTGCATTGGGCATGGATAAAAGGTCCTTGGAAGACAAAATGAGAGAACTTCAATTGGATTTCCTCACAATGAGAAATTGTCTTTCCTTGAGAAACATTGTAGGGGACGGTGCCGTTCACTGAGAGAGAAAGGAATAGGAGTTCTGTGTAGGTAAGACAATGAATCATTTTGAGTCCTCCTAAGTTTTCATAGTTGGTGGATACCAGCTGAAGATAACCTTCGGTGCTTAGCTCTGTGAGTCTAGAATACAGAGATTGCTTTCAGAGTTAAGAGTCATTAGAGGTTGTTGAAACTACCGCAGTAGATCCTTGAAAATCTGATGAGAAAAGTGAGAGGAGCGATTGTTACTAACATAGAATGTTACAGAACCCAGTATTTGGTGAGTGGATGGAGGAAGAGGAAAAGCCAAAGAGAATAAGCAGGCCAAAGAGGATAGAGGAGAATCAGTAGATGCTGTCATTGAAGCGGAAGGAGGTGACAGTTCCATCCAGAAGGTGTGCCCAGTTCTGTTGGATGTGGCAGAGACAAATGAGGGCATAGAAGTGTGTGTGACATTCCTGTGGGGTCAGTCTCACTGTGGTGGGTGGTAGAGGTAGATGCTGGTTAATAGGGTTAAAAGTATGTGGGAGGTGAAGAAATGGAGCAGTGAATGTAGACTACAAGCAGTTTTCTTCTTTCGTATCCTAAACTTTCAAACACCAGACATGTACACTTTTGTCAGTTTCTTATTTTAGTGTAACATCTGATAAGTGGACATTTATAGGTATATTATGGTCTGTAGGTATTTGAATATTTCATTGTGTTTTTATGTTTGTTTTTGTTGGTACCGGGAATTGAACTCCGGACCTTCCCAGGCAGGCGCAGTGCCACTGAGCTAAATCTCCAGCTCTATTTCATTGTTTTCCTCCTGTTTATTTGAAGTAGTAGAATTAAACCTAGAGCCTTTGCAATGAGCTACATCCCCAGCCCTTTTTAATTAATTTACTTATTTTTGGAGCCAGGCCTCTGTAATTCCAGTACGTGGGAGGCTGAGGCAGGAGGATCACTGCAAGTTTGAGGACACCCTGGGTTACATATTGAAGCCCTGTCTCAAAAAACAAAATAATTAACTTTTTTTGAGACAAGGACTCACTAAGTTGCTGAGTTTCCCAGGCTAGACTCAAATTTGAGTTCCTCCTGTGTCAGCCTGTCAAAGATCTCCTGTGTCAGCTAGGATTACAGGTGTGCACCACCATTGCCTGGTTTGTCCTCCTTACCTTGCAAAAATTAGTTGAGAAGAGGGCCAGCGATTTAGCTCAGTGGTTCCGGTGCTTGCTCAGGTCCATCCAAGGTATCCCACCCAAAAAAAAATTTGAGAAGAAGAAAATACTAACACTAGTTAATAAATTTAGTTCTTGGGCCGGGGATTTAGCTCAGTGGTTCCAGCGCCTGCCTTGCAAGCGCAAGGTCCTGAGTTCGATCCCCGATACCAAAAAAAAAAACCAAACAAATAAACTTAGTGCTCATAAATTTAATGTATTTGAAGTGAATCAGGCATGGTGTTAACAGCAAATCTTTAGTCTCGTTTGAACGTTTACTGCACTTAAACCATATGTTTGTATGTTGAGTTAGTAAAGGAGCAGAGTTAAATAGCCTGAAAGGAAACTGAAAGAGCTTTAAAGATTGCAGAGACTGGGCCGGGGATTTACCTCAGTGGTTCCAGTGCCTGCCTTGCAAGCACAAGGTCCCGAGTTCAATCCCCAGTACCCCCCCCCCCAAAAAAGATTGCAGAGACTAAAAAAGGAAGTACAGTTGGGAATTGGTGTCATGGGGGGGTGGTGGTGTCAATGTTTTAGTTCCCTTAAAACATAAAGATCTGTGGCACATGCTTATAATCTCAGCACTTGAGAGGCTGAGGCAGGATGATCATGAGTTTGAGGTCAGCCTGGGCTACATGGTGTGAGACCCTGTCTGAAAAAATGAGGATCTAGTTTTAACTTTCAGGTGTGTTTTCAGGAAGAAACTATGTCTAAAAGTAGAGAACTCCTGTTCAGGATTATCTGTGAAGGGAAGGAGAAAAAGGATAGGGATAGGAGATCCAGGAAAGATTTTTAAAAGATAGTAACCCAAGTATGTTTCTTAGAGGAAAGGGAAAGTTGAAGAAATAGACAGAGGACAGCTAATCAACAGGCAAGACCTCTTAAACACACAGGATGCTGAAGGGTCCAGGGTGGGGTTTTCTCATTGATTAGAAGGAAGAAGAGGTACCTTTCCATTGAGTTTAAGAGAATACGATGCAGATAGGTTTGAAGGTAAAGAATGAACTTACCTGTATGTTTACCCAGTTTCTCGATACTTACTGTGTGTTTCATCTTCCAGTTCAGGGAAGTGTGGTTCTGGTCCTCAAAGGGGTTGTAGTCCAGTGACAATGGGAGATTTTCTGCCTTGTGTGGGTCTGTGTGTTTGTCTTTGAAGTAGGAGATTATATGCTTAGAGAAGGTGGTGTAGGGAGGTGAGGAAACTGGAAAATCTGTTGGGAGAGTTGAAGAAGTTCTCACCCTCTTTCCATCCATTTTGCTGTGCATGACAGTATCTCATTCTTCTTGGTGTCTGAGTGATAGTCAATTGTGTATCTGTTCCACATTTTCTTTATCTGTTGGTCCATTGGTGAGCACCCATGTTGATTCCAGATCCTGGCTATTGTGAATAGTACTGCAGTAAACATTGGGGTACAGGTGTCTCTGTGATGTGTTTATTTCATTTCTCTTGGATGTATACCCAGAAGGGGGATAGCTGGATGGCACATCTATTTTTAGTTTTCTGAGGAACATCTATGCTCTCTTCTCTATAATTGCTGTAGTAATTTATTACATTCCCACTAGTAGTATATAAGAGTTCCCTTTTCTCCATATCCTTGCCAGCACATGTGGATTTTTAAAAAATCTTTTTTTTTTTTTTTTGATACCGGGGATCAAACTCGGGACCTTGTGCTGGTGACACAGGCGCCGGAACCACTGAGCTAAATCCCCAGCCCTAAAAAATCTTTTTGATGATGGCCATTTTTGACTGGGTAAGATGGTATCTCATGTTGGTTTTGATTTGCATTCCCTGGTTGCTAATATTGATCATTTCCCCCTCCCCCTATATTTGTTATTTCTACTTTCTTGAAAAACATCTATTCATATCATTTGCCCATTTTAAACTTGAATTATGTGGGCTTTCTTTGTTGTTATTGCAGTTTTTGAGTTCCTTATACATTCTGGATATTAGTCCTGTGTTAGATGAATAGTTTGCAAGTATTTTCTCCCACTGTATACATTGTGCATTCTGTTGATTGTTTCTTTTGCTAATGCAGAGCTTCTTTGAAATAATTCCATTTGTCTTTATTTGTTTTTGTTTTCTGTGCTTTTGTGGGGGTCTTCCAAAAAAAAAATCATTACCTATATTGAGGTCTTGAAATATTTACTCTATGTTTTCTTCATTTTTTAAGATCTTATATTTAGGTCTTGGTTCCATTTTAAGGTGATTTTCTTTTTAATGTGGTGAAAGGTAGGGTTCATGTTTCAACATGGAGATCTAATTTTCCCAGCACCATTTATTGAAAATGGCTCTCCTTTCTCCAGTGTATGCTTTTGACACCTTTGTCAAGAACCAGTTGGCTGTAGATGTGTGGTTTTATTTCTGGCTGTTTATTCTGTCTAGTACCATGGATTTTGGTTACTACAGCTCTATAGTTGTCCTGAAATCTGATATTATCATGCCTCCAGCTTTATTCTTTTTGTTCAGGATTGCTTTGGACATTCAGGGTTTTGCATTGCTCAGGATTTTGAAGCTATGGGTTTGTATATTCTAGGCAAGTGCTCTACTACTGAGCTATATTCTTGGTCCTTATTTGGGATCTTTTGGGCTTTCATGTGAGATTTTTTTTTTTTTTGTATCAGGGATCGAACTCAGGACCTTGCTCATGCAAGGCAGGCGCAGAACCACTGAGCTACATCCCTAGCCCCTATATTAATTTTTTAAATTATTTATTTATTTATTTTTGGGGCTGGGTATTGAACTCGGGTCCTTGTGCTTGCGAGGCAGGCAGTGGAACCACTGAGCTAAGCCCCCGGCCCCTCCATGTGAGTTTTATGATAGCTTTTGCTAGTTCTGTGAAGAATGTGATTGACATTTTAAGAGGAATTGGATTAAATCTATAAATTGTTCTGGTAGTTACGGACATTTTAACTATTAATTCTAATCTATAGAAGATTGCTATACTAATACTAATAGTACTAATACTAATAATACTATACTAATACTAATTCTTCTAATCTAAACCTGGGAGAGCTTTTCCATTTTTTGATGCCAGTTTCTGTCATCAATGTTTTGTAAATTTTTCATTGCAGAAGTCCTTCCCTTGGTTAAATACATTTTCTTTTATAGTTATTGTGAATGGGGTTTTTGTGATTTCTCTCTCAGTAAGTTTGTTATTGGTGTAAAAAAGTGCTGCTGGTGTTTGCATATTGATTTTGTATCCTGCAGCCTTAAAGAATTTATCAGTTCAAGTGGTCTTTTGGTGGAAGTTTTTATGGAGAATGTGAGTTTTTGGGCGGCTAATACAATGCAATAGGTTGTCATGGTTATATCACTCTTCATATGGACGTTGAAATCCTTTGGGATGATGGCAGAACTTGGGGTCAGAGGACTGTGAACCTGTTGCCAAAGACATCAATGAATGTGGTAAGTTTGGACAAGAGCTTGGCGGGTGATAGTGGAGATGAAGATAAATAAAGTGCTACAGCTACCTGGTATTTGCTCCATAGAATAGATGGTGGTTCCTGTGAAAAGGTGCAAAATATAGGGAGATTATTTGAATGGTAATGAGCATTCCAATGATGTAATAGAGTCAGGAGAACAAACATGGAGAATAAAATCAGAGTGAAAAAAATCACTGTAATGGGAATTGGGATGAGAATACCAAAAAACCAAAAATACCCAGAAAGGCCTGCATTTTGGATGGTACGTAGGGATGATAGATGGGATTAACTGGTCTCAGTCATTTAAATAGAATTCTGATGTAATTTGTTTAGTGCCTACTTAATTGAGTTCTTGTGAGGATAGTGTCTGTCAGAAGGGAAATTAGCAAAGAAGGTATATTAGTCACTTTCCTGTCACTTGGACAGAATACACAACTTGAAGGAGGAGAGGTTTATTTAGATCAGTTTTAGAGGTTTCCAACTGTGGTGGGCTTGCTCCAAGACAGAAAGGGCTTGGCAGAGGAAGGCTACTCACCCAAAGGCAGCCAGGAAGCAGGGACAGATGGGAGGAGCCAGGGAAGAACACACTTTCATTGACCCGCTTCCAACCTTGCCCCACCTCTTAACAGCACTTTCAGTCATGAACTCATCAGTGAATAATCAGTCCACTGATGAGTACAGTGCTCCCATGATGAGTACAGCCCCTTTCCAAAAGCCCTGCCTCTCAACGTCAGACTTTTGGGGAATGTTTTAGATCTAAATCATAACAGGCGAAGTTGTTTTATTGCACTATTAATCCATGTATTGGATATCTTCTTACCTTTGTGTTTCTGTAGATAAGATAACCATATTTATTATATGTCTTTTCTCAAGTTAGAGATGAGATTCTTGAATGGAGGGGCCATATTAACAGACTAGTAATGTTGCTGGAAAGATTGTCCTCTAGCTCATTCATATTCTCTTAAGTCTTGGGGAAATGATTGTTTAATCAAGTTAGCTATTTATTATCCTAGTTTCAAGTTCTCTTTATATGATAAAACATTTTCTGTATCATTAGAAAGGTGTTGAATACCTCCCTCTTCTACCATTCTGAGAGTCCTCATAGAAGAGAGATTTGTTCTTTACAATTTATTTTTAATGAGTCCTTCCAGATTTCTAGTATTTGTGATTTTTTAATTGATTTTCTTACAGATAACTGTTTTTGTTAATGAATCAGCAGCAAGTTCACTTCCTTTTATTATTTTAAAAAATTGGAACAGCACTTGCCCTTTTTCTTTCCTGCTTTGTCATGCTTTCTCAACAAGAGTGGTTTGAGCTGGGCATGGTGGTGCATACCTGTAATCCCAGCACTCAGGAGGATGGAAAGTTTGAGGCCAGCCTGGGCCTCTTAGCAAGTTCAAGGCTGGCTTGGATTATGTATTGAGACCCTGTCTCAGACAAAACAAAACAGAGTAGTTTGAGATCACATGTGAAAAAATTTTTAAATTTCCTGAAATGTAAATTTTTTTTGTCTTGAAGATATGAAGTCATTCATAAAAGGTAGATAACTTTCTTAACTATTTTAGTTTCTTGAAAGAGATCATAGTTTGCCTTCTCTATAATATGACAAATGAAGTGTGTAGTTCTTTGTTGTGTTGGCAGTGCTGTCTTTGTACGTGCCTCTCTTCCATGCCCAATTAAAAAGCTATTTACTGTATGTAGTCATTGACAAACTTTAAAGAAAGTCTCAGTTTATTATACATTTTAGTTTTAAAATCAGAATTCTTTTTTTTGGTACTGATCGAACTCAGGACCTTGCACTTGTGAGGCAGGTGGCCAAACCACTGAGCTAAATCCCGGGCCCTAAAATCAGAATTCTTAATGGTCTCCTTGTAGTCAGGACCATTTAGTCAGCAACTTGGAGGGTAAGATATTTAGGATTGTGAATTGCTGTCTTTTTCATTCCAGCCTATAGGTGTATATTAGTAATTCTCCATGGGGTTGGGGGGCACATTTGTTCTCCAGGACATCTTTGGGGCAATGACTGGAGACACTTTTCATTGTCCTCAGTTGGGGTTGGGGCATAGCTGCTACTAAGAGCAAGTAGGTAGAGGAGAGGTGCTGCTGCTGGGTTGGTTGCCCGCATGAACAGGACAGGCCACTCCCCACAGCAGAGTGGTCTGGCCCAGAATGTTGAAAGCGCTGTAAGTCCAGGCACCTGATACACATCAGTCAACATTTTTGAATACTTAGAAGCTAGTTAGATATATTTCACTAATGGTATCTTTTTTATCCTGAAGGCTTTGAAGAAACCATTCATTGCTGAGGAGGCTGGATGCAATAGGATACAAACATTAGACTTACATTTATAGAAAATTTTTAATACATAAGTATGATGCAAGCTTTTTTTGAGTGGGGGGGAGGCTTTCTTGTGGTTTTTCCTGTTCTTTTGCATGGAAAAATATTTGTAGTATTGAAATACATAATTTATTTTTAATATTACAGATCTAGAAATGGCCATTGCCTACTGGAACTTAGTGCTTAATGGAAGATTTAAATTCTTAGACTTATGGAATAAATTTTTGTTGGTAAGTTCACATTTTCTGCAGTTTCATGTGTCTCTAAAATTACGCTGCTCTTAAATTAACATACTTTAAGGCATGACTAATTCATCTCAAGCATATAGTGGACATAGAATGAGAAATTTGATTGCCAGAATTTCATTTTACAATTCTTTTTTTGTACAGTTCTTTTGTACTCTTATGTTTAACATCATCTTTATATTTTTTCAGCTTTTTAATGATGTGAATGTTTTTTTGTTTTTTTTAAAAAATAGGAACATCATAAACGATCAATACCAAGAGATACTTGGAATCTTCTTTTAGACTTCAGTGCAATGATTGCAGATGACATGTCTAATTATGATGAAGAAGGTAACGAAAATGTCCCCTGGCAATTTTTTATTAGTACATGTTTGTAGTACATAATGATTACATTGTTTTTATTACACATTCCTGAACTTTCTGTCCACTTCTGGTTTCCTTAGGATTGGATTTTCCTCTTATTTATGCACTTTTTTCTTTTTCCTGGTGCTAGGAGTGAAACCCAGTTAAGCACTAGTTGTACCACTGAGCTACATCCCCAGCCTATTTCTACTTTTCTGAATGTGTGAAATGCCTTCATGCTTTTTAACAAACTATTCTCTTTTAGTTTCTTTAAATTCTAACCAGTGGACTAGGAGTGTTGCTCAGTGGTAGAGCACTTGCCTAGCATGTGTGAACCTCTGGGTTCAATCCCCAGTACTGCGCGCACACACAGGCACACACAGACAGACAGACATACCAGTCAGTATTCATGTCACCCAGAAAGTCATGTGTAATTTCTATCCATTCTTTTAGATTTATTTTTGTACTGATTTGTATGGGTTTTGGGGGCTAGTTTTATATGTAAACTTGATTGTAAATTAAGTGCACTTACTTTGTCTAATTTGAAGTACTTGAGTTGCCTAGTGTAGGGGCCGGGGATTTAGCTCAGTGGTTCTGCCGCCTGCTCTGCAAGTGCAAGGACCCGAGTTCGATCCCCGGTACCAAAAAAATAAAATAAAATACAATAAAAATAAAAAATAAATAAAAACTCTAAAAAAAGAAAACCTTTCTATAGAGTTGCCTAGTGTAGTGCTATTGGCATTTCAGAATTTACTCATTCCTTTTTTGCCATTTCTTCATGTAATTATGAAGACGATGCTGCAATCCACTACCAGCACATGCCCTTTTGTTTGTTAAGGTGGCAGTGGCTTACACTGATTTCTTTTTGTTGTTGTTGTTGTTCTTGTTCTTGTTTTTGGTACTGGGGATCGAACTCAGGACCTCTTGAGCTTGCAAGGCAGGTGCAGTGCCACTGGGCTAAATCCCCAGCCCTACACTGATTTCTTCACACATACTTAACTATTTCCCCCTGAGAACTAGCAGGACCATCTTTGAGATTATTGAATATGGAGGAATTTGAGAAATCTCCTTTGGCTTTCACTTTATAAGTCTTAGAACCATTTAAGCTAACCAAAGATAATATATTTTTTTCTTTCTAGTTTCAGTGTCACATGTAATCTTCACTGAATAATTATGCTTTCTGTTAGGTTGTAACCAAAATTAGAGAACTTCCTTATCTGGAGAATGGCATATAGGTGTGTAGAGACAGGCGTACAGTTTTTAATTTTTATTTTATTATTTATTTATTTATTTATTTATTTATTTATTTATTTATTAACAAGGTCTCACTATGCAGCCCAGGCTAGCCTCGAACTTGGCTGGGAATACATACATATAATTTTAAATCTTTTAATAATTTATTGTCATGAAATATAATAGAGTTCAACACTTGCTATTAATTTCCGTTGTACAAGTACCACAAAATGCCTGGAAACACACTTCTTCCTGTGATCCTTGCATCACTGGCAGCATGCCATCATGTCCTGGCCATCCCTTTGGCTGACAGTTTTAATCACTTTATTACCTGATTTCAGTAGCCTTCAGAAAACCATCATACTTTATTGATTGAGGAACAAGGACATGTTGGAATAATAGGGAATGTAAGGAGTATTTGTGCTAGAAAACTCAATAAAGTTAGAGTTTGAAAGATATCAGTGGGAATAGATAAGAATGACAAACTTTAACTCTTTCAAGAATGTGTAAGAAAAAACACCCCAAGAGATTCTATTACAATATTAGCCTTATTTCTGTGTTTTCTTCCCTTTCTGCCATATTTTTTTCTTTTTTCCAGGAGCATGGCCTGTTCTCATTGATGACTTTGTGGAATTTGCACGCCCTCAAATTGCTGGGACAAAAAGTACAACAGTGTAGCACTAAAAGAACCTTCTAGAATGTACATAGTCTGTACAATAAATACACCAGAAAATTGCACAGTCAGTTTCTGCTGGCTGGACTGAACTGAAGATCAATCCTCACTATTCAGACTAAGGGTTGAGACAAAACTTTAAGGATACATTTTGGACCATATCATGTTTCATTCTTCAAATGGTGGTTTGGGCTTGTCTTCTAGTCTGGGCCGCTCTAAACATTTATAATTCCAACGTTGTGGATTTCATCTTAATATCTGTGGACCATCCTAGTTTATTCTCCCATAAGTCTTAGAAGCTTTATGATGATTATTTTGAGGTTTCCATTCTTGCATAAAGCACAATGCTGTCTTCATCAGAAAACAGTTTGGCATAAGAATTAAACATAATGAACATCACAAACAATTTATAAAAACTTCTTAAATATATGCTTTGGGCTAGTTGCAAAGACTACGCTGATAGCACTTCCAATGAGAGTGATATATTTAAGTGTATGGGATCTGGAATGGTGTTTTTGGTTTGGAAGGATTTTTTTTTTCCTGGCAAATCATGTGTATTGTTGACGTAAGTAGAATATCTGATGAGAAAAATGTCAAAACAACCATTGTGAAAATTTTTTAGGATAACTTGGTGCCTACTTGAAAAATGTATTGTGTTTTAGACTCAGTTTCAAAAGGGTTCCACAGAAATAGTCTGCACTCACCAATGGTCCTACAGGGAGCTTTTATTTGGCAGATGTCTGCGTAATGTTAGATTCTTCTCTTGTCTACATTATGCACCGTATAATTGGATTTCATTATGCTTTTGAAATGCTCATATGCCTATCAAATAAGTTAAACTATTTAATTTGTTTTAAATGTTTTTAATTGCTATACAATATAATATCCTAAATTTAGGCATGAGGATTTATTTTTGTTTTTATTTTTTTTCTTTTTGGTCATCGTGCTATGGAACACAAATGAAATTCTCTTAATTTATGAAAGGATAGTATGAATTAAATTTTGGAAATGGTTGTGATGAGTCATGAAGTTCAATCTATATAATATAGGTACTGCTCTTTCAGACAGGTAGTCCATTTTTGATGACTTCTTATTTTGTTGAAATTGCTTTAACTGCTAATCACTGTGGTTGCCAAATATTTACTTCAGGAGCAAAGATTTTCAAACAAGCATATACTTGATAAAAAATACCAGTCTGGCTTCTATTTTTGTAAATTATTTAGTCTCTACTGTTTTTATGTTACATTAGCTCTGTTTTCACATCAAAGCAGAATGCTGTCTTGTATGGAACTCCGCCCCTGCCGTTTTTGGTTTTTTGGTTTTATTTTTTTTGGTTAGGGGACCCATGAACAGCTTTCTTGCCTGAATTGCTCATTTTGTTTACTTACTGTCATGTGAAGAAGGGTTAATTGCTTTCTTAAACATTTCTGTAAGGAAAATTTAAAAATGCTGAACTTCAAGTTTTGGATGACCATTGTCTTCACTAGGGACAGATTTTGCCTGGTGTATCTGGGTACTCTTTAGGGCATAGTATTGATATCAGTAAAGGAATGCACTTCAGAATAGCAGTACATTGATTGCTGATGCAGAAGTGATTTCAAGAAACAATGACTTATTAAAATTGCTTTTTATTTACATAATTTTGAAATTGATGAGATATTTTATTAATATTCCAGTCGTAACTTTTAATTCAAGAATGTAATTTTACCAAAAGAAAA